GAAGCTAGGAAAAACTATTGAAATATACAGTACATCGAGTATTTGCAATAGTTATTTTCAAAATACAGTATTACTTAAAACTATTACTTTAAAACGATATATTAAAGTTATGTTGGAAGGAATTTAAGTTACTGTATAATAATATACAGTACTGTAATTGTATAATAATTATACAAAATTAGTGTCGTACAAGGGACGGGAGCGATACCGAAAAATTATACCGATGGAGATACCAATTTAGATGGTAATACTATATATAAATTAGCAGCACAAGATTCTGTTGTACAGAATTACATTACTACAAGGTAAACATAATTTAATACAGCAGATACTGTATCATAATGAGGAAAATGATGAGGAGCATTAATACAGTGAGAAAATTAGATGCTTCTTTACATTACTTGTGAACATTGTAATGTGCATGTTATGTAATTCTTGCCATTATTAAGAAGGAAGTTCCACATCTGAGGACCTTTAACTTGCATGGTGTGTTTGTTTACACTAAATGTCGAAGAGATAGAGTACTTCCACAATTCGACAAGTTTATTATATTCCAAGATGAAGAGTTTCAAGCCTGGGTTTAGGTAGGGCTGCCAATCCAAAGTCACTTTTGCAACTTGTGTGTGTTCGAAGAATACAAATTTTATGTCAACTTTTTGGAAAACCCTGTGATATGAATTTAAAGATTATTTTATCATTAAAATTACACCATAATCTGGTTTGCAAATGCAATACTTGAAATGGGCTGTAATAAGATGTAATAGGCGCATCATCTTTTAACTGACCTGTAATTGCAGTCATGCCATATCCAGAGGAACACAACAAGTGTGTGTGGACACAGATTATATTGCCATTGTAAAGTTAAAATTTAAAGCTTTTAATGTAATAAAATGCACATTTCTTGGTGGTTGCAGTAGCTCTCCAATGCATTAGCTCTGGTACCAGAGGCAACCACAAAACAACCAAGTCTGAACTTGCACAGGCTTACCAAATACCAGGTCCAGAATCTGGTGTGCTCATAGAACTGAAGGGAGCCTAGGGGATCCAAGATCAACCCAAGACCCAAAACCAGTAAACAGTAAACAACCCAAAACAGTAAAACTGCCCATTAAATACAGTACAGGGAAAGCAAAACAAACTACTTGAAGTATCGTGATTAAAGAGAGAAAGGAAATAAGAACAGAAATTATCCAATGTCAACAATTCAAGCACTAGAACTCAAGCACACCACCAAGTGGAAGCTCATATCACCCAGGGATCCAGCCTGCTTGCATCTTTACTAACAACACGCCTGCAAGACACACCCGATCCCTATGAAAAAAGACAAAAATAGGCAGAGCTACAAAGGCCACTACAAAAAGGAGTTTCACTACATTCAATGCTTTATTTCTGGGCTGGTCAGCAGTAACTCCCCATTGCCTACTCCTCATGGCACCCAGAGCTTAGGAAACAGGGAAAACAAACTAAAAGGACACCCAAGAACCACATTGACCCAGCGAGGAAGGAAAACATCCAACAGGTAACGAGCAACCAACACCTAGCTAGACAGCTAGAAACCCTCAGTCTGAACATGTTAGCAAAGAAGGTAGTAATAGCAGCATACAGTACTTGCGAACATGTGTACACAGATACACATGAGGTTGGCTGAACCAAACCACCTCACTGTTTAGTTTACAATTGGGAATACAGTACCAGCAACCAGAGCCAACATGAAAGCCCTCTTGAAAAAAGTAATATTTAGTCAAGGAGGACAAGAAGCATGAGGTGGAAAAAAGGTCCAGGACAACTGCTGGAAGCAATATTGGGTACCAGTGCACGCTCCACAAATAACTTAAACAGAGAGAACATGATCAGTGGCACAAACGGGAAAACTGGTGAAGAAAAAGTTCAAAACAAAAGGGCAGCCAAGCCACCATATATTGGTACTGAAAAGGACAACTGTAATACTTAAAAAGCCACCAACCAGTCCTTATAAAAGTGACAGTACAAACAACATAAGAGCTCCAGATGTGAAGATCTGTGGATAGAATCAAACCTTCTATTCAAAGTGAGGCCACCAGTCGTCTGGAAGAGGCAGAGTTTGAGGAAAGGCAAAGGACCAAGACAGTCAGTGAGAAGGGCCTAAAACCAAGGCTGAACTGCCTATAGACAAGTCAGCAGAAAAATACACCCCGTAAAACGTCCTTAACTGGACCAATACAGGAAGGTGCAGCTTGACCCGAAAAAAGAAGTGCTGTACAACTGGGAGCCGATTCCAGAACCCTGTCACAGAATTAACAACTTGATACTGCCTTGTGAACCTTGGAAATGGTGGTTGTCCAAAAAGTTAGACAAATAAGAGTGCTAAGAAAGGAAAGGTCACAAGTGAACCCGAGAGTCCTTCATTGGAAACAGAAAGAGCCAGAACACCATCCAGAGCAATAAAGAAACAGCAACAACTCCCTTGCCCAATAAAGTGCCCTTTACAAGCTGGAGAAGAGGTGTGGAAAGCAGGAAAGTCACCTGGGGAACCTGGTAAAGAAGAAAAGACCAAGTCCAATGGAGACCCCAAGACATGAAGTCCCCCAAACATTATCCTCCACAACACCGTGACTGGAGCTTATGCAAAAAGGATAGCGAGAACCTGCAAGTCACCAAACCTAGGCGAATGCTGGGGTTGCTGACATCAAAGAGAGAGTGAACTGGCAACTCGGCTCACACCAGAGCCAAAGGTGCACTAAAATATCCACCTCAGCCTAGAGCCAGAAAAAAAAATTAACTAGAATAGCTCATGGAAGGGACCAGAGGCACAGACTACAGCTGAAATACCAAAGAAATAGAGTGGAAGGATACTCTTGCCACAGCCAGTGCCTGATCCATCACCTCTAAAGGAAACGGTGAAAAATTGGGAAGTAGACAGTAAAGAGGAAATAAGCAGACTCAAAGAGGAGTAGTCTAAGGCCGACTGTATGACAGCAAGTCCAACATTCCACACAGAAATCTATCATTGCATCACAAAGGAATACAAATCTTGGGTAAGACAGTTGAAGCAGATACTTCAGTAAAAAGGAATAAAGAGGACCCCAAAGGATGGGAAAGCAAAAAAACAAAAGAAAACCCCAAAGCAAAGCCTCTACACATATTTCGATACATGGACATGAAGCTGCCACTAACCCACATCACATTGACGAGCAGAGGCAAATGAAGCTCCATTAAGCAAATCAAAAGAGGAACTCCCAAAAACACATTTAAGATGGGATTCCAATATTCTCTAATGGAGGATAAAGGACTGTCTGCAACCAGGAGGAATCCTGCCCCCCTCATAACCAGATAGCGGCTGTGGAGCCAAGCCTCTATGCATTCGGGTCTCTTAGAACAGTTAGCTCCATTCTCATCTCTCAATCAGTGATCCAGGGTTCGATTTCTGGACAGGACATAAATGATTGAATACATTAAGCTAATAATAAAAAAACAAAAGCCTGAAAAACAAGAAATGTACGGTTTACCTGTGGATTATTTCAATATTGTTTTTCAATTACGGCCTGGCCTAATGTTTATCACGTCCTCAAAGCCTGCCTATTGCATCACAACTTTTCATTGGATTATTTTACACTAGCTATTATACTTATTGCTCAAGTACGTTGTAATTTGATTGTGTAGGTTTATTGTGCAGATTTGGAACACGACCTTATATGAGTTTGTTACGAGATCTCTCAAAATAATATACCAAGTGTAAACACTAATGACATTTTTAACTGCTTTATAGACAATGATTTCCAGGTATCTAGTTGAAGCCGAGTATATGGGGATGTTGAACATTTTACTGCATGTACTGTAGTTTGTGCTTTTGTTGCAAAATCCGACAAGTGACTTTCTGGGCGGGAAGAATTGATGAAAAAGTTCTCGAGGTCCATTTTATTTTATTACAATGCTAAACAGTTTCATAATGTACTGTCTTAAGGAATTTTACTTACCTGCATATGTAAATTTACTTACCTGCATATGTAAATTAGCATATGGCATCTTTTCCTCTTTGTTAAAGGCTTTGTTTATGACATTTCTTCATTCTGGTATGAGTTTTAGCATTTGCTCTACAGCAACTTCATGATTTCTCTGAGAGTTGACTTTTTCTTTATAGGGACATTTACAGCTGACCTAGTACAGTAGAGTATCACTAACCTTTGCCTGCATCTGTATACTGTACAGCACTTTCTGCAGTCTCATTCCAAGCTCTATCTTTTGTTTTCCTTTACAGATAGGCATTTTATGTATATATTGTATTCTTCTGTAGTTCCTGTTTTCTATGGAATGCTGAATAATTCCCATTTTATTTTGGCCCAATAAATGACCCAGATTGTTTTTTTTACCAGAATTTACCCGAGGACTACCATGTCTAATGGCTTCAACAGGATATCCGAGATTGTGCTGCCACCGATTAGTCATTTTTTATGAAGATCGAGTACAGAGTATTATCCCCTCTAGTTGGCTCCGTTATTCCTTTCGATAACGTGAATGTGTTACAGGAGGCCTGGTCGAGGACTGGGCCGTAGGGACGCTAAGCCCCGAAACCATCTCAAAGTAACCAAGGTAACAGTATCATATGCCTGGTGTGTGTTTGCTCATTTAGGCAAACAGATTTGCTTGACATTTTTTCCTAGCATAATATTATCATCTAAGTATCATCTTACACCATATTTATGAAAGGTAAGTCTTTTAAGAGGAAAGAAAGCCCTGTCCTAAATATTATATTTTTACAAGCAGTCCTCAATATTTCCTGTCTGCTCAGCTAATGTTTTAGTTTTTTGCATCTAGGGGTTTGCATATGAAGATAACTATTAGATTTTGTTTTGACCGAGTCCTAGTACTGTACCTCCTTGTCATTTGAGGATATAAACAATGCTGTGGAGGTAAGGGAATCTTTAACATACAGATTCCTCCATGCATACTATATACTCTTATCATATCATTAGCAGCTGCAGACAGTGCAGCAATACTAATTAAAATGGATTAATGTAGCTTACCTTATTTGGTTGTCTCTTGGAAGACTTCAACACGGAAGCTCTATTGCAAACTGTTTATCAGTCTGAAAAATTCAGAAATGTTTACAAATATTCAATTACTATAGTTACATTTGATATATTACAATCTAAAATATTTTAGACCTCAATATAAGGATAATTTCATTGTCAGGGGACAGGAAGCCAGAGTGTATTCATACATGTTTTGGCTTTTATCGAGGTCTCCACACCCCTCCACCAGGTTGAAGTACTGACCCCGCCCAAGATGCAACCCCGCAATAAGCTGACTAACTCCTGAATACCTACTCACTGCTAGGTGAACATAGCCATTAGGTGAAGGGAAATGTGCCCAACCATTTCTGTCTCGCCCGGGATTCGAACCCGGAATTCTCGCTTGCGCGTCGAGAACGAATCCGACTGTACTACCGGGACGCCTGTTGTTTATATAACAAATCTTAAGAAATCAAGATAGACTTTGCTTCCATTACAATGTCTGAAGGTTTCAAATGGAGACCTGAAGTTTCATGTGAAAAGGAAAATCTAAATTGACTGCATTCTTACATGACAATCATAATTTTTTCTCTTGGTATTATTCTTTTGCCTTTATTAAAAAAAATTATTAGAAAAACAAAAAATTCAATTTTCATAACCTGACCTAGCAATCCTCTTCAACTACTTGCTTAGAATATGTCCATCTAAGGTTTATAAAAATTTTTCACAATGTTTGAAATTATATATATATAAATTACTAATGAATCAATAATAGGCATGCCAAAGCCAAGAAATATTGTGCAGCTGCTTAGGGTCTCATTCATTACAGTACACTTTGTTAGTATTCCAGATATATGCAAATGAGCAAGAATAAGTTATGTTCATCTGTATATGTGGTGGTTGGAGGTGGCAGTGGTTGGAGGTGGTTGGTGGTGGCAGCGGATGGTGGCAGTGAAGACAGTGGTTTGTGGCAGGAGCTGGGTGATGGTGATGGCAGCAATTGGTTTTGTGTGTGTGACGATATCGACACCATCTGTGGAGCACTACCGACCACAATTCGTTTAGGTGGGATGGGGGGGGGGGGTCAACGACAACGCCCTCTGTTAAGGGAGGTGACTGTCAACGCCATCTATTGAGTGCACTCGAACATATTTTCTGTTCCACAGTGAAAGGCTGTCATTATATTTTACCCTTGTGTAGTTTCTGTCTTGCTAATAACATTTACGTCTTCAGATGTGATGTGGAGGGTATCTTGGGCACCAGGACTCAGTTCACCCAAGGCAGTCCTGAACTCAAGGCATGTTCCAGCAAGAACATATGACCACATCAGTATAGACAGTGATTTGTTTATAATACTTGCACAGTATTAAGTGATTTGACCGACGTACCTGAGATAGGCCAAGTTGAGTTAAGAGTCGGAAGTACAATCCCTTAAAACTTTTAAGCCTGTGTGGAGCCCTGCCCACATGCTGCTGGAGAGCCCAAGGCAGTACCTGCTATCTGTGAAGGCATGTTGTAAGCCTGTGTAGAGTTCTTGTACTATATACTTGCCTAGTTGTGCTTGCGGGGGTTGAGCTCTGGCTCTTCTTGTACTGTCAATCAACTGGTGTACAGATTCCCAAGCCTACTGGGCTTTACATTTGTATGAAGTCTGCCTCCACCACATCACTTCCTAATGTATTCCATCTGTTGACTACTGGCACTGAAAAAGTTCTAACGTCTGTAAGACTGGTTTGGCATCTTATCAACTAGATTTTTATTTTTTCCATTTCATGAAGGACGTAATCTCCCATTTGGTATCCTGTATCTGGCCTCCTGTTTCCACCGCCAAATTTCATTACCCTACATTTACTTGGGTTGAACTTTAGAAGCAATTTATTGGCCCATTCAGTTTGTCTAGGTCATCTTGTAGCCTCATACTATCATCCTGTCATAATCCTCCTCATAATGTTTGAATCATCAGCAACCAATGAGAGGAATGAGTCAATTCAATCTGGGAGATCATGTATATATCAGAAACAGTACAGGTCCAAGGACTGATTCCTGAGGGACTCCACTGGTGACACCTTGCCAATCTGAGACCTCGCCCCACACAGTGACTCGCTGTCTCCTATTGCTTAGGATAAGCAACTCTACAAGATAACACTCCCTTATCCATTGGATAAGGGAGTGCCTTCCCTTTCACTCCTGCCTGCATCTCCAGCTTGTTCACTCATCTCTTGAGTGGTACTGTCAAAGGCTTTCTGGCAATCTGTGTGTGGTTGGAATAGTTCGGTGCATGTGGTTGGGGTCACTTTGGCGGGCAAAGTTTGTTGGATGGGAGTAGATGGTTCACTTTGGTGGGTGTGGTTGGTTGGGTGGATGTGGTTTATGATTGGGTGTATGGTGTTGGGGGACTGGGTGGATGTATTCACCCAGTTGTGCTTGCGGGGGTTGAGCTTCGGCTCTTTGGTCCCACCTCTCATCTGTCAATCAACCGGTATACAGATGTGGTTGTTTAGTTGGGTGTGTGGTTGATTACTAAGTGTGTAATTGGGTGTGGGGTTGGTAATTGGGTACATTTGGTTGGATGTGTGATTGGTAACTGGGTGCACTTTATGATTTCTATCCTGAGGTTCTTGAAGTATATCTTGCAAGTGTGTTTGCTCATCAAGCACTTAAACCTATCACAAAATTACTATACAAGTGTACTGATAGCTAGTTATACTGCAGCTAGTTCTGTTTCTGTAGAGCTCGGCCAGATGTTTAACTGATTGTCTGTGCAAGTATCACTTCTATAAAACCTACAGATTGCTGTGTCATATTTATGATTGGACAGAGCATTGGTGTAAATATAATGTATGCAAGGCCTTAAGCTTTTAATAGAGGATGTAATTGCTTAAAATATAACTACTAAAGTAATGCAAGATTATTCTCATTATCCTCGTTGGTGATGGGTGCATGTGGCACTTGGCCGGCAGAGCGATTGCAATAAACTCTTGGGACTTGTCCCATCTCATTTCACCCTAATATTTGTTACACAGTACTGTACTGTACTGTACTTGACACTAAAAATGACTTCTGTTGGGGCTACTAGTACATGTATTGCTTAATATCGCAAGAAAGTGAAGTTTTATGATCATGCTTAAATGTTTTAACTTTCAAGCAATGATGATGATTTCATACTTCATCAATTTCAAGCAATAAATGTACAATAAAAATTCTTTATCCACAAACTTACCACATTTACATGAATTTGCCATTTATATTCAATCAGATGTCAACATCTTTATCCAGTAATTAGCTATAGTCATACAGGCATGGTAATTATAAAGAGAAAGTGCTAATATAAATATATAGCTCTGTACAATGCTATATAGTATTGGTACAATGCTATATAAGCAATATAGTATATATTGCAGTACTGTATATAATATTGTATATAGTAAAATAGGAATTGGCTTCCATTACAATGTTTGAAGGTTTCAAATGGAGACCTGAAGTTTCATATGAAAAGGAAAAGTGCAAACACATGCAAGTTTGAGGACATGATAAACATTATAAGTATATAGTAAATGGCTATATAAGCAGTAAGCAATCTGCCCAACCACTGTGCCCAAGCAATATGGCCTTTTGGGATCGAATGCTGCCCCCAGCAAGAAATTAGGCCATCATTTAACAGAATTGTCTTGTAAGATGAAAGAAAATGAGTAAAAGCTGCTCAGAGTTCATGCCATATTTTGCACATGTACTCCGTTTCATTTCTCACACAGATTTGACAAAAATTAAAACATTTAACAAAAGTATTAGCTAAATGTTACTGTCATTTCTATAATGCAAATCTGTAATGTGGTAAAAAAAATGCATAACACTAACCCAAGTGGTAACATACTATACAGCAATTTATACACCAGTACAACATTTCATACAGCCCACATTATTCACATTAAATAATTTTGTAAATTACTTTAAAGTTTTAGTACTGTATTTGGTAACATTTTAGTATACATGCACTAGGCAATATGCTTTATACACACATCACTAACAATTATCATATGCAGTGAATGTTACGAGGCCAGCAGGCGGGGCAGAGCGCGCTAGACCTCGCTCCTCTATAGTAGCCGATAAGTACTGCTAGGTAGGTACGCATTGGGTTAGGTCATAAATGTGAGTGCGCCAGCTGTCTGTTGTACAAAGTGACATTTATCCAAGCTAAAGGTTAGAACAAATATTGTACACAGCACAAGATGAGTGTTCATCAGTAAAATTATAATATAAGTATTAACATACTATAAGTTATATATTTCTGCAGCAAGATTATTAAACTAAATGATTATTAGTTTACTTATTGCCAATTTTGCTGATATAATTTGTATTTAAAATACACAGAACATGATACAGTGGTTTAATAAATGCTACAGAGTATGCATTTAATGAAGCCACTAATACACAGTATTTCTGTCATAACTTGAACGAATTGTTCAAGAAGTTTAGCAAATGATAGTGTGCAGATTTTGGACAACAATGAAGAAAGATATACGATTACTTCATTATAAAAGAATAAATTGCTCTCACTATTATAAAAAAGAATAAGTGCCAGTACAAAAACTTGCTGTGACCAGATGACCAACGTGGTAAACACACACATCCTGACTCGCCCAAATTACTGTACCAAAGTCCAGCCTTGGCCCCATGACCCATCTAGCCATATGGTCACTATTAAAACTGCATGATCTTCTTAAATATATTTTAAATGGAACACTAACAACTGTATGTTGTAAAAAATAGCAAAGATGTATCTATAATATGTAGAGAATGCATCTAAAATAAACCTAAGCTGCTCAAGAGTCATTCAAGCAACACTACATCAAAATGAAACGAGTTTTGGGAGCAATCTTAACTGTGGACGAGCATGGTGCTACAGCTGATCACTGCACCGAGTGGCCGGGTGTGTGGCCCTTCAGTGGCCGGGTGTGTAGCCTTCAGTGGCCGGGTGTGTAGCCATGTGTGGCCACACTGAGGGCTACAATATAGCAACACATGATGCAGTGTGACTTTTATAAATAGCCTCCCCCCTGGCTCAGCGAGCAGCCGGGCACTCTCACTCCTCCTACAATGACAACATTACATTTCCAGCAGAAATGGCCAGGCTGTTCACTTACATTACTGTGCAGTGGGGTGAGGTGCTGCTACATTACGACGAGGTGGGTGTGGCGAGGTGGGTTGTGTGAGAGTGAGAGGAGGGAGGGAGAGTGAGCGTCAAGATGGCTGCACCGCGACGCTCACAACAGCTGATCACCAAAACACAAGAACATCACTAAGCCAATCAACACGTGTGCAATAAATACCTTCCACCCCCCCTTTCTCCCTGACCCCCCCTCACAACCCCCCCCACCCTTAACATATGACCAGTATCTACTCATCACCGCTGCCTGTTGCTTATATTGACCCATATTGTAAATACTAACAGGCAAGATAAACCTTCCCAAGGCCTCTGCTATTACACACATACACACATGCAACAGCAGTTTGAAATGAAGATGCCGCCGACATGAGGGAAAGGGGGTCACTTTACCCACCTGGGTGAGGTGTGAGGGTCATGAGGAGCATGGGGGACTGCTCATGAGCTCCTAAGATGCTCCTCCTCCTCCACCGGTGAAGCTATCTCACCTCCGTAGCGCCACCTACGCAATAACGCCAACACTCCGCCACATATTTGCTTATATTATCACCGGTTAACTCCATAATGACCCGCATATCTTAATATTAACCTATCTCATTTCTGTACAATGAATTTAGGGAGGATGTTAAAGAGATCGTATCTTCTGCAGAGCTTACCTAAGTTAACAATTGTTTACGTTTGTGTTTACATCAATCAGCTGAAGAGGAAGTAGAGAGCGGCGGCCCCCGCAACGCAGGTAAATATTGGCCGCCCGCGAGATTCAAAGTGTTGAGTGTGACTTGAGTTCCCATACACTTAGCGGAGGGGAGGATCGATCTGGTGGGGTGAGTGTGAGTGGTGGTGAGTGGTTAAGGACAGGGACTTGGTGTGTCACGCACTCTCACACACGCGCCACCTCACAGCTGTCCCACGCACTCACCAACTCACATTATTGATTACTTGAGGAAGAAATAACTTCATAAGGAGAGCATACTAATACACTATTATGACAGGTACAGCGATTTGTATAATTGTTACTTCACACTAAAATTACAATTTTATTACACAAAATATTTTGTGCAAATAATAATATCAGAATATAATTTATTCGTAAGTGGAGTAGTATTTACTTCATGGCATTTTGTTTATCATATTTATGCACGCCATATGACCATTGCGTGAGCGGCAGTGGAGAAGGTTACAGAGACAAATAATGGTATCAGGAACTCTGCCCCAAAATTAATTTGGCTAAGATACAGTCTTAAGTTAATTCCATAGATTACGTATATCAACAATGGGTTTAAGAACTATATCACATTAAGTCTCTAAGCTAAGCAATTTATATTTGCGGTGAGCTAATTACACATTATTTTACTTGCTTATCGTAGATCGCAGATTCGGTGCATGTTACGGAAGTCAACTATAAAATATAATTGTATTATAAAACTGCATTCAAAATGTATAATGTTGCATCATAAAAGTATAATATTGTGTCATAAAAGTATAATATTGCGTTATTAAAGTATAACATTGCTTTATACAAGTATATTATTATAGTATAAAATATAATACGTAAACAAATATATCATATTTGTAAACGCAAACAAATATATCATATTTGTAAACGTAAACAAATATATCATATTTGTAAACGTAAACAAATATATCATATTTGTAAACGTAAACAAATATATCATATTTGTAAACGTAAACAAATATATCATATTTGTAAACGTAAACAAATATATCATATTTGTAAACGTAAACAAATATATCATATTTGTAAACGTAAACAAATATATTATATTTGTAAACGTAAACAAATGTATCATGTTTGTAATTGCACAGAAAAATATCGAGTTATTTGCTTTGTAAAGCACTCTGTAAAGCAATACTTAAAGCACGACCCAGGTCGACCTCATAAGGTTACACTATTTAAGCATTGTGACCCCCCCCTCCCCCGCTCCCCCCCCCCCCGGAATACAAATCTGTCTTCAAAACAACCATGTTGGCACCTCATCCCCCCCCCCACCCACCCACCGACGCAACAGATAACATTGATAGGAGGAGTTCCCATAATGGCGCTCAATATATTTTTCCCGTGTATCAGTATTCCAACCACAGGACGTTGGTGTTACTCGCGAGAACTTATCACCCAAGAGGACTCGGGTAAGTTGTGTTTGGGCAAACCAATTCTAAGATCCACGCCTCGTACCTATTACGGAACATTGCGATGACTCACGACGGAACGGTTTTGTCATATCTATTCTGAGTGGGGCAAGGCGCATGGCTCACCGCGGCCCCCACCTTGCTCGGGGGGGACAAACATGTCTTCGACAGCAGACAAACCTATCAACAGCTAATATCAATATCAATCATCAGTTGATACAAACGTATCAACAGCAAACGGTCAAATCTCAACAGCAGCAGTAAGCGAAATAACTATGGAAACGCGAACTAAGTTTTATTGCAGCGTTCTTGGCAGGTGGAGACTATGTCTCCTACCTCCACCCCGCGTAACGTGGTGGAGGTGGGGGTCCCTTGATTGTATCAAACGTGGGTTGGACATGTATATGAGTTTGATTGGGTAGTTATAAATAGGAGCTGCCTCGTATGGGCCAATAGGCCTTCTGCAGTTACCTTTGTTCTTATGTTCTTTGATAAAAGTAATATAGAGCAATACACAGGATATGGAGGAATTAGTTGATGATTAGATCGCTCGGCATCATAGGATGGATGACTTCTATGTCATTTATTAAAGATAGTAGACCATGGTTATGTTCACTCGTAGCTGTGTTCATCCCTAGTTGTGTTCACAACTAGCTGTGTTCATCCCTAGTTGTGTTCACAACTAGCTGTGTTCATCCCTAGTTGTGTTCACAACTAGCTGTGTTCATCCCTAGTTGTGTTCACAACTAGCTGTGTTCATCCCTAGTTGTGTTCACAACTAGCTGTGTTCATCCCTAGTTGTGTTCACAACTAGCTGTGTTCATCCCTAGTTGTGTTCACAACTAGCTGTGTTCATCCCTAGTTGTGTTCACAACTAGCTGTGTTCATCCCTAGTTGTGTTCACAACTAGCTGTGTTCATCCCTAGTTGTGTTCACAACTAGCTGTGTTCATCCCTAGTTGTGTTCACAACTAGCTGTGTTCATCCCTAGTTGTGTTCACAACTAGCTGTGTTCATCCCTAGTTGTGTTCACAACTAGCTGTGTTCATCCCTAGTTGTGTTCACAACTAGCTGTGTTCATCCCTAGTTGTGTTCACAACTAGCTGTGTTCATCCCTAGTTGTGTTCACAACTAGCTGTGTTCATCCCTAGTTGTGTTCACAACTAGCTGTGTTCATCCCTAGTTGTGTTCACAACTAGCTGTGTTCATCCCTAGTTGTGTTCACAACTAGCTGTGTTCATCCCTAGTTGTGTTCACAACTAGCTGTGTTCATCCCTAGTTGTGTTCACAACTAGCTGTGTTCATCCCTAGTTGTGTTCACAACTAGCTGTGTTCATCCCCAACTGTGATTATTTATAGGGTTCCAGTAGTACAGTCGGCTTCGTTCTCGACGTACAATTCGAGAATTCCGGGTTCGAATCCCGGGCGGGACAGAAATTCTTGGGCACATTTCCTTTCACCTAATGGGTCTGTTCACCTAGCAGCAAGTAGGTGCTCGGGAGTTAGGTTGTTGTGGGTGTTTCATCCTGGGCGGGGTCAGTAATTCGACCTTAGGGGGAACCTCTATAAAAGCCTAACGTGTACCGTGTACGCTCTGGCTTCGTGTCCTCTAACACGGTGAATTATTAATTATTAACTGCGTTCAATCCTAGTTGTCTTCACTCATCGGTGTGTAATTATATGTGTAATTATCCAAGTGAATTTACCTGAATATAATTATCTAAGTGTTAAGTGTAGTTACAGAAGGAGAGACAGTCTTCCTAGTGGTCTTTGAATGTTCTGACGGTTTGGGCCTCCACCACCTCCTCACCTAACTTGTTCCAAACTTCTATAGCTCCGTTCGGAAAAAAATATGTTTCTTATAAGTTTTCGCCCCACCCCCTTTGTTTGTTTTTTTACCTTGAATCAATTGCCTCTTGTTCTTAAAGTTGTATTCTGCTAAGATTCCTCCTTGTGTATTGTGTACGTCGTGATGACGTAGATTCTCTTTTTTCTTATGCTTAGTCTTGACGTGTTTAATGCCTCCGGTCGTCTCTCTCTTCATTGTTTACGTTCTCAAGTTTAGAGAGCCATTTACGCGGTGGTCACAATATCCGTTAGCAACGCCAGATCAACGTTGATTCGACGATTATTTAACGTCGATTCGACGTGGAACCAAAGCCACACTTGGACATTGTGTTCACTGGGTAGTAACATGTATTTTGCATTCATTCTAGTTTATTTGTGCGCTTATTGAGATACTGGCATCACACCACTGCTGCATATTCCCCTTCTGGTCTCGTTGAATGTCGTGAACAGTTTTCTAATATGTCCTTGGGCCATATATTTAAACGCAGTTCTAAAATTCGCTAGCGTAGCGTATAGGCTCTTCTCGCAGTGCTATTTCTGTGGTCCCCTGGTGACAACCTACTATCCTGACCCACTCCTAGATCTCTTTCCTTGCCAGAGGTTTACAGTACATTTTCACATAATATGTATGCAGGCGATGAGTCACAATAACGTGGCTGAAGTATGTTGACCAGACCACACACTAGAAAGTGAAGGGACGACGACGTTTCGGTCCGTCTTGGACCATTCTCAAGTCGATCGACTTGAGAATGTACTGAAAATGAACCATTCTCAAGTCGATCGACTTGAGAATGGTCCAAGACGGACCGAAACGTCGTCGTCCCTACACTTTCTAGTGTGTGGTCTGGTCAACACATAATATGTACGTTCAGTGTGGCCTGTTCTCCGATATTCCGCTTCATTACGTTTCATATGTGTACGTTGAATTCCTTCCACCATGTGTTGCTCCACTCTCTTGTTTTGCCTGGTCATTTTGGAGGGCGAGGCAGTCATTTAGGTCCTTGACTCGTGATCGTGTACCCCTGGCTGTGCTCATCTACATGCTTCAGCTTAGCTCTGCCCACCAAGCTGTGTTAACCTACTTAAGTGGACAATTTAAACAACCCAACACCCTATTGTCTACTATACTATAGTGGCAGATACAGCGCAATTAATTCTAGACTATATAGTTTATATATTATAGTTATACAGTGGCCCAGGTTCATTCTCTATGGAAGTTAACAATTGAAAGAAAATGAAATATTAATTGTAAACTATGTTAAATTTCAATAACGTGTGAGGTAGTAGCAACTTATTATTTTGCTGCTGCTACCTCCCATATAAAGAAAATGAAGGAAGGAGATCAATCCAGCGTCTTGGGTAACCCCAAAGGCACGCTTTAACCCATTGATCACGATATGGTAAAAGCTATATAACCTTGTATCTGCCCGGATCCACTAGAAGTTTGGAGACACCGAGCTGGAAGCCATTCCAAGTTTTGCACATAACCCGCTACACTCGGGTGTGGGTTATGGAGTTCTCCACCAAGCTTCCTTCATATACAG